CCTGCCCAAATCTCATTTTGAATCATAATCCCCAGTGCTGGAGGTGGGGCCTGGGGGGAGGTGACTGGATCATGGGGATGGATTTCTCATGGCTTGGTGCTGTCCGTTCCTCATGAGATCTTGTTGTAAAGGATGGTGCATCCCCCTTGCTCCCTGTTGCTCCTGCTCTGGCCGTGTTATGTGCCTGCTCCCCCTTTGCCTTCTTCCATGATTAAAAGCTCCCTGAGGCCTCCCCAGAAGCAGATGCCAGCACCGTGCTTTCTGTAAAGCCTGCAGAACTGTGAACTAATTAAACCTCTTTTCTTTATAAATTACCCAATCTCAGGTATTTCTCTATAGCAGCAAGAATGGCCTAACACAACATCCTAATGTTAAACCACTCTAATTTGAATTTATAGCAACTCAACTTCAATAACATACGAAGTGTCTGCTTCTGGACAGCACCATTCTCTCCCTTTTTGTTATTAATGGCACAGATTGCATCTTTATACACTATGTGCCTAACAGCATAGATGAGTATTTTAAAATGCATTTATACTTAAAATCATACAGGACATTAAAAAGTGGAATTCCAAACCAAAATGACAATAATATTAGCTTTCATAATTGCCCATGTTTTACCTTTACTTCTTCATATGATCTTTATTTCTTCATATGACTTTGAGTTAACCGTCTAGTGCTATTTCATTTCAACCTGAAGAACTCTCTCAGGCTTTTCTTGCAGGACAGGTTTAGTGGTGATACATTTCCTTAGCCATTGCTTATCTGGTAGTGTCCTGATTTTTCCCTTGAAGAACAATTGCCAGTGTCTTAGTCTCTTTTGCGCTGCTGTAATGGAACACAACAGACTGGGAAAGTCAGGCCTTCGCACGCATCGTCTCATGGTGGGAGGCCAAAGGGCAAAAGAGCGTGAGAAAGAACCAGAGCCAGAGAGGGCCACATTTGTCCTTTGATGCGGAATCCACCCCCATGATTATGGCATTAATCCTTCTAAGGTTCCCCCTTCAGTCACCTCTGCATGAAGTTTCTAACACATAAACTTTGAGAAACACATTTAAACCCTTAGACCCAGACCTAAGACTCTTAGTTGAGAGGTTTCCCCCTGCCCCTCAGCACTGATCTGTCACGCTGGCTGCCTTCTGGCCTCCAAGGCTTCTGATGAGAAATCTGCTGACTGTCTGACTGAGGATTCCCTGTATGTGACAAGTAGCTTCTCTCTTGCTTATTTCAAGATTCTCTCTTTGTCTTTGCCTTTTGATAGCTTGATGATAACATGTCTTAGGGCGAGATTTTTTGCACTTATCCTACTTTGAGTTTGTTACACTTCTTGGATTTTTAGAAAAAATTTTAAAAATTAAGAAAATGTTTGAAACAAGCCTTACTTTGTCATCCAGGCTGAAGGGGTTCAAGCAGTCCTCCCATTTTAGCTTTCTGAGAAGCTGAGATTACAGATGCATACCACCACATCAGCTAATTTTTAATTTTAATTTTAGTTGTTTTTCGTATGTGTGGAGACAGGGTCTATTTCACCCAGGCTGATCTCAAATTTCCTCGCCTTAAGCAAATCTCCTATGTCAGCCTCTCAATGTGCTGAGATTATAGGCATGAGCCACTGTGCCCAGCTTGGATATTTATATTAACATTTTAAATAACATTGGGGACATTTTCACCGTTTTTTCAAATATTATTTTTCCCCCCTATTCTGTGATTCTCGCAAACTGTTGTTGGTCCACTTCATGGTGTCCCACAGGTCCCTTAGGATCTGTTGGTTTTTCTTCAGCCATTTTGTTTCTGTTCTGGACACTGGATCATTTCAATTGTTCTGTCTTCAAATTTGCTATTTGTTTCTGTAGTTAGTCAAATTTGCTTTTAAAGCTCTCTAGTAAATTTTTATTTCAGTTACTCTACTTTTCAGTTGCAGAATTTCTTGCTTTCTTTTTTTTGAGACAGAGTCTCGCTCTGTTGCCCAGGCTGGAGTGCAATGGTGCAATCCCGGCTCACTGCAACCTCCACCTCCTGGGTTCAAGTGATTCTCCTGCCTCAGCCTCCTGAGTAGATATGATTACAGGCACCCGCTACCATGCCCAACTAATTTTTTTTGTGTGTGTTTATAATAGAGATGGGGTTTCACCAGGTGAGCCAGGCTAGTCTCGAACTCCTGACCTCAGGTGATCCACCTGCCTCTGCCTTCCAAAGTGCTGGGATTACAGGTGTGAGCCACCGCACCTGGCCTCAGTTGCAGAATTTATTTTGGATTCCCTTTTAGTATTATCTCTTCATTGACTTTGTCATTTGGTTGTATGTCATTTTTCTGTCATTGTCCACGTCTTCCTTCAGCTCTTGTGCATCTTGCAGAATTGTGGTCAAGTTTTTGTCTAGTGAGTCTGATGTCTGGGCCTCCTCAGGCACGCTTTATATTGACTTACTTAGTTCTTTTTAACAGGCCATGCTTTCCAGTTTCCTTATATGCCCTGTGATTCATTTTTGTTGGAAACTGGACATTTTAAACTTAAAATGTGATAACTCAGGAAGTCAGATTCTTACTTTCCTCCAAGGTTTAGGATTTTTACAAAATTGTGTTGGGTGCATCTGGGCTGAGAATCAGCGTCTTTCTTTCTGTACGTGTGTAGGCTGTCCAAATTCTCCTTGTATATTTATTTATTTTTTGAGACAGAGTCTCGCTCTGTCTCCCAGGCTGGAGTGCAATGGCACGATCTTGGCTCACTGCAACCTCCGCCTCCCAGGTTGAAGCGATTCTCCTGCCTCAGCCTCCTGAGTAGCTGGGACTACAGGCAACCCCCACCATGCGTGGCTAATTTTTTTGTATTTTTAGTGGAGACGGGGTTTCACCATGTTAGCCAGGCTGGTCTCGAACTCCTAACGTTAGGCAATCAGCCCACCTTGGCCTCTCAAAGTGCTGGGATTACAGGCGTGAGCCACCACACCCGGCCTTAAATTCTCCCTGTATAGATGGTGGTTTTCGAATACAAAAAAAAAAAAAAAAATTGCAGCTCCTTTAAGTCTTCTAAAGGCTGCTTCTTCCAGTGGGTTAGAAACAGTGATGGGCAGCTTCTGTGCACCTATCCCGGGCAATCAGAAGCAGCAATGTGCAGTCGGGACATAGAACCCTGATAAAGCGGAGGCAAGGTCCTATTGCCAAATGTGGCTCCAGCCATCTGCCCTAGAAACACGGATTCCCTTCCCTACATTTGCTGGCCATGAGCCTGGGGCTGGGAGCTGGGGAGCCACTGTTAGGCTGAAGCCTGAGGTTGGTCCACATTCACTGCAGTTGACCAGCTGAGCTTTTTCCCTGGTAGCTGGAAGTGTTCAAAGAGACCCCAGAGTTCTGACAGTGACTCCAGAGTCTTTTTACAGCACACTATGGTTGTGGACTAGGTGGAGACACACATTTCTGGCACTTTCTACTTTGCCATCATCTTTCCTAATGTCACTTCTTGTTATCTTTTTATTTCTAACGTTATGGGCAAGTAATCAGAATTTGGTTTGGCAAATTTAATTCAAATATTTAACGTTATATAAATTAAATATATGTTTCATGGATATAAGAAGATGAACTAAATGCGTCTTTGAGGGGTTTTAGCTTTACATGATTTTGGTTCAGCATTTTATATGATTCCATTTTCTCTTTTATAGCATATGAGATATAATTCTCTGTTCCCACTTTTTTAGTGGTTGCTCTAGTGTTTGCAATATACATTTACAATTAATCTGTGCTCACTTCCAAATAACATTATCCTGCTTCCACAGTAGTTTGAGTACCTCATAGTAACAAAAGATTTCTGATTCCTCTCTACCATTCCTTGTATCATTGCTGTCATTCAGTTTACTGACCTACAAGTGTACATAAGCATATATATATGATACACATATATTTTGTGCCCACCCACCCTCATATATGTACACACATAAACACATAACTCTACATAATTGCACACATTATTGCCAGTATTATTTTGCACACATTTTTATTTGTTAGACCAATTAAAAATAAGAAAAATACAAGTTTATGTTTTATTCTTTTATTTTTTTTTTGAGACGGAGTTTCATTCTGTTGCCCAGGCTGGAGTGCAGTGGAGGGATCTCGGCTCACTGCAAGCCCTGCCTCCCGGGTTCATGCCATTCTCCTGCCTCAGCCTCCCGAGTAGCTGGGACTACAGGCGCCCGCCACCACACTCGGCTAATTTTTTGTATTTTCAGTAGAGATGGGGTTTCACTGTGTTAGCCAGGATGGTCTTGATCTCCTGACCTCGTGATCTGCCCACCTCAGCCTCCCAAAGTGCTGGGATTACAGGCGTGAGCCACCGCGCCCAGCCATGTTTTATTCTTTATTTATTCTGTCTTTGATGATCATTCTTTCTTTGTAAATGCAAGCTTCTGAGCTATATTATTTTTCTTCTCTCAGAACTTTTTGAAAACATTTCTTGCAAAGCAGGTCTACTGGCAACAAATACCTTCATATTTTGCTTGTCTGAGAAGGTCTTTTCTTGTTTACTTTTGAAGGATAATTTATTAAGGAACAGAATTACAGGCTGGTGGTCTCTTTCATCTCTTTAAAATATTTCATTTTACTCAATTCTTGCTTTGAATAGTTTCTGAGGAGATTTCAGGTGTTAAGTTCTTTGTTTCTCTGTAAGTAAGGTGATTTCTTCCCCACCGCGCCACATGGCTTCTCCTTAGGATTTTTCTTTATCTTTGATTTTATGTAGTTTGAAAATAATATGCTTAGATGTAGTGTTGATTTTGGCCTTTATCTTCCCCCCTACCGCCCAAGAACATTTTTCATGACCACGTCATAACTTTTGGTTTTGGTCAACTGCTTGTGTTTGGTTCACATGTGGTCTGGAATACAGTAAATAGCGTATACTGTTCCTTCATATAATACAACTTTTATATCAACTATACAATTTTTCCCATACATTTTAGTATGAGTTATGAAACATAAAATTTACTATTGCTCTGTTACTGATTCTTTCTTAAAGGAAAATGCAAGAAAAGCTGTTGCAGCGAAGACCCTCAGGCAGCTAGTATGACACTCAGCTCTGTTCACTTTCATAACACAAATGCCCACAAAAGCGGTTTTGACCTGACTGACCCTGTACGCGGAGGCACAGTCTCCTCACCAGCATAAGCACGTGGCATCAGATGTGGAGACAGTTTTGGACATGGATGGATGTTACACACTGAGATCCCTTCAGCGTCCGTTCAAGAAAATGTGGACTCAGTGTCTCTGAAGCCTATTAGTGACCATAGAATTAATTTCACTAGTATCCTTCAGTCACCAACTTGTGAAAAGAGAACATGTGAATGTCACGAGTCCATTGAAAAAAGACAGTAAGTGGCCTTGAAAAAACAATAAAAGAAACACAAGTTTTCATTTTGATCAAGGTTAAAACAATACAGTTAAGGAATAGCTGCCTTCCACCTAAATGAGTCACTAGATGCTAAAACACTTTTGCTCATCTGTAAACATGTGAATACAATCAGGTTTATATTACTTTGAAGAAACTGTATTATGTTATCTAAATTTGTAACATCACATTTGAGAGACTCAGTGATTAAAAACAGCTGTTTTTGCTGTAAATATGCTTTTGATTCTGATTTTCAAACAAAAAGAAAACATACTTTTAGTAAAAATGTGTCTCAGAGGAACACTATTACAGTTTTTCCACTTTCATTAAGTGGTTCTCTGCTCACTCCCTTTTTCCCCACCAGAAGTGCTGATGACTGCGGTATTCCTATTAACAGATAAGTTACTCCCTTCCTAACTTCTTTTAAGATTTACAAGCGCATAGATTCCAAGCACAAACCTTTCAAAGTAGGAAAATATCCTTCTCAATATATTCCCTTGTTCTCATGGTTTTGAGACCCAGGGAATCTTATTTAAATTGGTTCACCGGAGGCAGTACCTACAGGGTGTTTACAACAAACATGAAAAATATGTCTCTAGTTACCAGGAAGGTAGTTTTTCAACAAGTTTCAGCAAGTTTCATTGATTCGCATCATGTCCTTTCACTTACACCTAACTTGGTGAAAAAAATCCAAGAACATTTAAAACTCATCACGCCCACATTGAAAGGCCGTATTTGTCCTCTCCAAACTGACATTTATGTTGCAGTAGTTCTGTTGCACTTTCACGGTGTAATAGGACGTTAACATCATATTCTTCCTCTCACTTTTGACGGAGGCTTTTAGATAGATACCAACCACTTCCAATAGGTACTAACCACTCCCAAATTCCAAGCTTGTGGTATAATTTTTAAAAGTACATTTAGGGTTTGTCCCGAGTTCCTGGCTCAGAGCTTCACAAACCCTAGAATTTTCCTGAATAAGAGTGTCTCTCATTATTCATACAAACCCCTTTGGACCATACATGAATTGACGCCAGCAAGATGGCTCCCGGATGTGGGGCAGGGGGGACTGGCTGGATGGCTTCAGGATAAAGGCTGTTTGCCAGAAAAAACAATCCTGTAATTAGAGGGTTGGAATTTTCACCCTCCCAATCTCTGGGGATAGGAAAGGGGCTAGAATGGAGCCCCATCACATGGTCAGTGATTTAAACAATTATACCTATAAAATGAAATCTAGATAAAAACTCTCTGCAATAAGGCTTGGAGAGCTTCCTGGCTGGTGAATCTATTGATGTGCTAGACAGACAGATGAGCTGAAGAGGGCACAGAAGCTCTGTACCCAGGACCCCTCCAGACCTTGCTGCCCTGAGTGTATCTTCACCTGACTGTTCATTTGTATCCTTTACAATAAACTGCCATTGTAACTATAAAAAAAGAAACAGATATTTGTCCATTTTGGATAGGGTATAGTTTCATGTGGACTGTGTCAGTCTTTTAAGTTGAAATATTTAAGTGTTTTATAGTTTAAACAAAATTTCCAATATACTAGTATAGGGAGAATTGCTCAGAAATCGTATCTTTCATCAGAGTTCTAGTGGACACGTACCTTTCTATGTCTTAGCATTCTTCCCTTTATTTCTCAGTCTCAATTATTGACTTGTTTTCATGAGCACAGCTGGCTTGTCTGCCATCAAAGAGATACTTTCATTTTGGGAAATGGATTTTTCTTTTTCCAACAAATTTTGGGCAGATTTCAGTGCTGTTGATAACTAAGGCAGTCATCTAGATAAAACAATTACGTGAGAATGTCTTATCATTTTAGTTGTTACATGTGTCAACGGATAGTTTTGGAATTTTGTTTTTTAGAAATGAATCTCACACAGAATGTGGTTTATGACAATGAAGAGGGCAGACGGGTCATGGACCTCGCCTGTCACACATCTTTCACCAGCAAACAAAATGTGATGAGACGTCTGGAGACTTGGGATCTGGTTGTAAGTATGTGGATGAACTCACTTATTGTGTGGTTTTCATCGTTTCTGATGGCGTTTCCGAGGCTGCCCTGTATATGTTGCTCAGCCACATCAGATCCCTTTGGGACTATCATTGTATTCTGGAAGCTCTTCAGTTACTTTCACAGGAACCGAGGTGTGAGTGAGCTGGTCTTCACCACTGTAGAAGCCGAACCATTTCTTGAAGCAAAGCCAGTGAGCGAGAAGAGCACTCTTCTGCTTCTGTGCAGACCCCATAGTATTGCAGGGCTGGAAGGGACTTTCGGCTTTGCTTGTCCACCTTAAAAATTCTGTCCTGAGCAAAAGAAATGTTCTGGCAAATGCGTCATTGTAAACACCAGCCCATTTTAGAGTACAGGCTAAGAAGTGTGATAGAAATGATGGAAGAAAAGTGGCACGAAGGATAAATGAAATCCGAAGGGATAAGGGCATTAAGGGAAGCTGATCATCATAATCCTAACAGCGAAAGTACAGCCTGGCTTAGGTCTGCAGAACGGTGGGTCATGGCGTTTTAAGCCTGAGCCTGTGAAGACGCTGTGCCACCAACCGCAGGGCCTGGGCTCCTCTGTAACGGCAAGGAGCCACGGTGCTCCCTGGCCTGCCAAGCCCAGCCTTATTGTGAGTACCCACCGCTTGTACTAAGCTCTCCCAAATGTCCAGTGGTGTGGAATTACCGCGATAAGTCATGTATTATTAGAGCCACATGCGTTTAGACACAGGAAAGGGATGGGTCCACATAAGAGTTAACATCTTTACTCTTCAAGCACAGGCAGCAGCAGGGACAGATGTGGGGTGGGGCCCTGTGAGCCAGCTACACCTCCGATCCCCACTCTGCCTTGTGACTAATATATTTAGGTTTTCATTATAAAGTTTACACAAGTCCCTTAAATTTTCAAAAACTTACTCGACTCTGGTCCTTTATCTATGTAAACTTCAGATATGACTGGGGTATACCTCCTGTTTATTTTCCTCATATTATATGTTTTACAAAGGAACAAACATAAATTTTCTAATAACCTGCATTTCCCAGTTGCAGAATAAATAGATGTGTAGACCACATCTATTTCAGAAAGATAACCCACGCAGATTCCTTTATTACCTGAGTTTATACCAGCATGACTTGAATTTGTTGTATTCAGTTTATCTGATTATTTTTAAAATCTTGTCACACTCAGAGTGATACCACTAGTGAGATGAGCACCACAATTTTTCAAGCCAGCCCAGCCCCGTCAGAGGAATAGGCTGTGGAAAAATTGGGAGAAAAAGTTCCATTTCAGAATATAGTAAAAGGAACATAAAGGAACATTACCGTCTATGATCGCAAACAACTGTGAAATGAAAACATGACTGCAACTGCTCTGAGTAGCAAGCCTAAAGATGTAAAACCTAACCTTAGATCAAGTGAAGATCTTCCTCCAAAGTGGAGATCTGTTGGAACCCGGTGAGGTGGATTGGACGTCAAACCTCAAGGAAGTAGACCCGATCAGGCTGGCTCTCCTGAGCAAGTCAGGTCTGAGTCGTGAGACAGGATCAGCCACTCACACCTCCTTGTGTCCTGCCAGGAGACTGTAGATGATGATGAAAGATCCATCACTAAAGCTACGTCAACTGCAAGTAGTGAGCTCAGAGGCCAGGACCTGTTCCCAGCGGAGCCATTCATGACTCTGCAGCTGAGATCAGAACATGCCTGCTGCGGTGCCTGCACTCTTGATGTGACCCCTCCCAGCACAGCTTCCTTCAGCCAGAGGTATTTAAGAACACTACCTTCAGCTGGAAGTGTCACCTTGCCTCAGTGCCAGGCTGGCAGGGCCACAGTCTGTGGCTTCTCAGGAGGCCGTCCCTGTCCAGCTGTCACGGGAGAGCATGTGCAGAACCCTGCGGCTGTGGAATTTGGGACCAAATACCGGCTCTGGATGGATGGGTACCTCTTCCATCTGCAACCCATATTCTAATGCTTCACAGCGGAACCTGCTAAGCGCAGCGAAACTTTTTCCTGTGCATTCTATTGGTGCAAACTGGAAATAAACCACGGGATTCAGGAATGACATCAGTACTGGGTGAGATGCTTTTGCTCTGTTGTTGTTATTTCACAGTTGAATTTTTTCAAATAACCCCACAAAGCTACTTTGTTTCAAGGAGTTACTGGTTGGCCTTAATTTCTTGTAAGTTTTGTGCTTTGTCCTAAACTGAGACCACCACAATCTATTTCTGTGCAAGGGTTCCCGAAGATGGCTGAGAACACCCCCAGCACCTATGCAGGTGACAGGCTGCCTGTGGCTTTGTCTTCCTTACCTCTCTTTTGCTCTGCTGTTGCAGTTTTGTGATGATTTCATGTAGGAAATGTCCAGTTTAGAGTTGATTCCTAGAGTGAGCGAGTGCTTCCAGCTTGCGAGTCTCTGGGTGGCTGTGATGGAGAGGCAGCATTCAGGTGCATCCGTGAGGCCGTTTCTCTCTTGCTGATGGTCACTGTGCTCCCACAGCTGGGACCGATGCTTTTCCTGACATGGTACACATGCTACTGGGGTGCTGTCTTCTCTGCCCTCCAGAGCAACTGCGTGAGGATGGGGCAAAGGCGGGTGGTAGTATTAGAATCGGATAGGCTCCACATCTGCAAAGTTCGAGCCTCTGCGGTTTTCTTTTAGGTTAAGCGGTGGCTTATGATTTGTGAGAGAGAAACGGAAGCCATGACAGTAACATCAAACGATTCAGTGGCTATAATGGTGAGTTTGATCTAATCTTAATTGTTTTTCCTGGACTGGATGGAAGCAGGAAGAAAATGTTGGCAGGGCTCTGCCGAGGCTCAGGCAGGGACAGGGACTCCTGCATCTGGGGCGCTTTGAACTGGAGCTCTGAGCTACAAACAGGTGGTTCATAGACTCATTGCCACTGAACCGACTGAGCTGTTAGTCAGGGGTCTGGTGTCACTGGCATCGTGGACTGTGCCTTCTTCTCACCCGGGGAGTATCTGTCTGAGGAGTGGAAGCTTCGTGATGCCTGTGGTGTTGGGACGGCTTCCCAGACCCACCTTCATCTTCATCTGTGCTCAGTGCAGCCGACCCCTGGCTGCAGGTCAGCATCGGGGTCCTCAGATCAGTGTCAGTGGGGAAAGCCGGCTTTCTAGGCCGCGCTCCTGGGATGTGACAGCTGCACTAGGAGTCAGTGCTTGATTTCTCCCTTCTCAGGGCCAGGCTCTCCCTACCCCTTTCCACCTCACGCCGGCATTGCCATGGAATCTTCTCTCAGGCCCCATTCTGTTGTAGTGCTTAAAATGTACAGTGAAAACGGAATGTTTTGCTTTTTCTGTCATGATTTATATTTCATTATTATTTATTTATAACATTATACGAATTTGTTTGTAGTACTATGATTACAATCACTGAAAGCTCAGAGGTCCTGGTCCCTCTACTTGTTAATCTTGTAAAATGGGGCTGAATATAAATTATTGTCATTTATCAAAAGAGAGAAGGAGAGAAACAAGTTAATCTTGGGGCTATGCCTTCATTTGGAAAGGGGAGTCTTTTTGACTGATGACTTTCTTACATAAGCTTTTGAAATACCTGGAAATGCAGTTTTAACATGAACTCTGATGGCAAGGGTCTCTCACGTACTCAGTTGCAGCTGCCGTAACTCCAGACTCCCCATCTCCTTTCCTGTTTACAAGGATCATCTGAATGGCAGGGAGTGGGGAGGGGAATAGGGTCAGCAGCTACTGTTTCTCAGCATCCCGGTTTTGTGATTGCTACTTGCCAACTAGCATTGGTGGGTGGGTTTAGTCTTCCCACGTGCCTCTTAGTGACTCTAGTTTACCTGGTAAAATAAGATGCCCTCCCCACTCCCGTTTCCTGGCTTTTCCCCTGTGCTTTCAGATCCTCAGCTTAGATGAAAAGCAGATGACTGAAGGAAAGGGTTGAGGGTGAAAGGTGGGCTGTGAAGACTTCTTAGGGACACCCAGGAGTCTGGGAATGAAGCGATGTTGTCTTTGGCAGTGGGGAGTAGAAGAGAAGATCCCCACTGAGCATGACAACGGAGAGGTGGCCAGAGCTGTCATCACAGTCGGGGTGGAGTGGAGCTGCGGGACCACAGTGATGGGCCTGACTCTCTGTCCCCACTGTGCTGTGCATTGATGTTTCTCATTCACCTTTTCTTTTTTTTTTTTTTTTTTTTGAGACGGAGTCTCGCTCTGTAGCCCAGGCTGGAGTGCAGTGGCGCAATCTCACCTCACTGCAAGCTCCGCCTCCTGGGTTCACGCCATTCTCCGGCCTCAGCCTCCCGAGTAGCTGGGACTACAGGCGCCCGCCACCTCGCCCGGCTAGTTTTTTGTATTTTTAGTAGAGACGGGGTTTCACCGTGTTAGCCAGGATGGTCTCGATCTCCTGACCTCGTGATCCGCCCGTCTCGGCCTCCCAAAGTGCTGGGATTACAGGCTTGAGCCACCGCGCCCGGCCCACCTTTTCTTTTTCTCCCAGAAACTACTAGTTGACTTTGTCAGCTGTTAAGATATGTTTCTTCATTTCTTCTCCAGGCCCATGAATTCTGGGCCCTCAAATCCTAAGTGAATATCAGCTTGCAGCCAGAGCTCTCTTGTCAAGAGTATTGAGCTTGCTTGTGTGACCCCTGGTTAAAGCAGCATCCGCTCTGAGACACACGGGATTTCTCCCCCTGCCTGGGCGACAGAATTCTTCTGTGTGCTCAGTCTGCTCTCAGGACCTTACAGAAGAACAGAAGAGTCCTGCCTGCAGCAGTGTGAACGCCTGTGCCTGGAATGCTTGCCCGCAGCTTCCCTGCGCTGGCTCCTTCAGGGAAGCTTTCCTCCACTCGGAATTCCCAGACTTCTTATAAACAGTGTTCCCGTAGCACTACGGCTCCTCACACCCCCTGTGCAGACGGCATTGTGATCGTCTCTCTCCTTACCTCTATCCTTCTCTGGAGCATAAGCTCTCAGGGTGGGAATATCATATCCTCAGCACCTAGCGCTGTCTTTTGGACGAAGGAAATATGTAGAAAATAGTTGCCAAAATAATTAGCTACAAGGACCTTCGATTCAGATTGCTTTCTCTGTTAGGATCTGGAAAATATTCGTGCAGCCATTTGGGCCTCAGTGTGAAGTGGTGTTAAAAGGTGAAGTCCACTCCAGCTAGCATTTGGGTTCCACTGCCAAATGCTAGCTTTATTTTCTTTACGAGTTTCCTTGTATATCTATTGCTTCACTGTTACTGTAGGGGAGTTAGGTTATGAAGGTGACAACTTGTAAATGAGTCTTTGTCCTACTTGAGCTTTCTCCCCGGCCCCCATTTCCCGCTTCATGGTCAGAGTGTGGGACGGTTACAATTTGCACCTTCCATAAACCTAACTCCCTACGTAACAGTGAAGCAATAGAGATATACAAGCGAAACTCGTAAAGAAAATAAAGCTAGCAGGCCGGGTGCGGTGGCTCGAAGCCTGTAATCCCAGCACTTTGGAGGCCGAGGCGGGTCGGATCACGGGTCAGGAGATCGAGACCATCCTGGCTAACACGGTGAAACCCCGTCCTCTACTAAAAAAAGTAACAAAAACTAGCCGGGCGAGCGGTGGCGGGCACCTGTGGAGTCCCAGCTAACTTGGGAGCTGAGGCTGAGGAGAATGGCGTGAACCCGGGAGCCGGAGCTTGCACGTGAGCTGAGATCCGGCACACTGCACTCCAGCTGGACGGACAGAGCGAGACTCCGTCTGAAAAAAAAAACGAAAAGAAAATAAGTCTGTATTGGGCAAGTGGAGACCAAATGCTAAGCTGGAGTGGACTTCACCCTTTTAAGCAGCCACTTCACACTTGAGGCCACAATGCTGCACGAATATTTTCCAGATCCTAACGAGAAAGCAATCTGAATCGAAGGTCTTGTAGCTACATTATTTTGGCAACTATTTTCTACATAATTTCCTTCGTCCAAAAAGACAGCGCCTACGTGCTGAGGATGAGTGGATATGTCCCACCCTGAAGAGTTATGCTTCCAGAGAAGGATAGAGGTAAGGAGAGAGCGATCGACAATGGCGGTCTGCACAGGGGGGGTGAGAGCCGTGTGCTACGGGAACACCGGTTTATAAGAAGTCTGGGAATTTCCGAGTGAGGAAGCCATTCCTGACAGGAGCCAGCGCAGGGGAAGCTGCGGGGCAGCATCCAGGCACAGAGGCGTCACACTTGCGCGGCAGGACTGCTTCTGTTCTTCTGTAAGGTCCCTGAGACAGACTGAGCACACAGAAGAATTCTGGTCCCGCAGCAGGGAGAAATCCGTGTGTCTCAGAGCGCGATGCTTGCTGAACCAGCGGTCGACACAAGCAACGCTCATACTCTTGACAGAGAGCTCTGGCTGCAGCTGATATTCACTTAGGATTTGGGGCCCAGGCATTCATGGCCTGGAGAAGAAAGGAAGAATACATGATCTTAACAGCTGACAAAGTCAACTAGTCAGGTTCTGGGAGAAAAAGAAAAGGTTGGGCCGGGGCGGTGGCTCAGGCCTGTAATCCCCAGCACTTGGAGGCGAAGACGGGCGGATCCACGAGGTCTAGGGTAGATCGATACCAACCTGCTAAACACGGTGAAACCCCGTCTACTAACTACAAAAA